GCCCCGCCCCCCCCCTGCCTCTTCAGGCAGTGGGTACTTCATCTCCTCATATATGGCCTCACTCTCTTCAGAGTCTGAGTCGGCACCAGCTGGAGGGGTTGGGCCTCCACTCCCAAGGGGTGGCCCAGTCAGGCTACCTCCACTTCGTCCTCCTCCCCTGAAGACATCTCCCACCATCTCAATGTACACAGGTTCTTCTTCCTGGGCACCCACATCAGGGTCTCCAGCTACTCGAGAACCACGACTGAGGCGCTGAAGGGGCAGGTTTCCCCCTCGAGGAGAGGGGGCTGGAGGGCAGGACTCATCAAAGGAGACTGAGAGCTGAGTGTTGGGGCTTCGCCTGGGCTTCTGTGGAGGGACCTTCCGGCTGGACTCTCGGCCCTCTGGGGTAGGTTTCTGTGAGCCTGGCAGGATGGGAAAGAGAAAAATAAACTGGGCCTTAAAAGGAGAAGGAAATGGGGAGGACCTTCCTGATCTCTTGACCCAGCTGCAAGGACATAGCTGCCTCTTCATTTACCCTGCACCCCTCCTCAGTATGCAACCCTAGTAGGTTCCTTTTCTGTCGCTCAGTCCTCAGGGTTTCTTTCTTTCTTTTTTTTTCTGGAGATGTTTTTGCTATAGAGAGCAAGCACTTGCCAGAAAGACAGAGAGAGACAGAGAGACAGAAAGAGAGAAATCACCCCCCAGGGGGAATGGCCATGCCTCAATCCCTTCTCCTCCATTCTCCTCTCAGGATCTTGGGCACGCACACACAAGCGCCCGGAGTGAGTTTAAGCTACTGGGTCTGGGGCTCAAACCGCGGTCAACTACATGGGAGTCCAGCGACATAGCCATTATGCCAACTGCTGGTCCCATCCTCAGTGTTTCTAATGAACTCCACAGAATTCGCAGCTTCCATGCTAAATTCTCTCCCATTAGTATGTTCCTCCAAGGCTACCACCCCCATCCTGAACAGAAAGTGCCCTTGGCTTTCTAATGGATCACCTCAGGCCCATTCAACTCAGGCCCATCCAAAAGGACCCCCTATTCTTTTTGAGAAAAGAACCTTCCACTTCCTTGGTTCTTCCCTGAATGAATTTTCCAGCCTACTCCCCCATCGCCCCTGGAGTGGATCCTCCCAGCTCCCAGCTTCCCCTGAGGAGAGGTGAGGGGTGTCTCACCTGCTTTCTTGCTGGGGGGTGTTTCTGGCCCAGATCCCACCATGCTGAGCTTGGTGCTGGGGTGTCTCCGGGGTTTGGCTGGAGGCCTTCGGGTGCTGCTGTCCTCTGTGAGACCTCCACTGCCACTCCCAGGGCCACCACCCACACTGTCCATGCTGCCCACAGAGTGGCAGGGGGGGGGGGGGGGGGGCCAGGGGCGGAGTTCTTTCTTTCTTTTTTTTTCTGGAGATGTTTTTGCTATAGAGAGCAAGCACTTGCCAGAAAGACAGAGAGAGACAGAGAGACAGAAAGCGAGAAATCACCCCCCAGGGGGAATGGCCATGCCTCAATCCCTTCTCCTCCATTCTCCTCTCAGGATCTTGGGCACGCACACACAAGCGCCCGGAGTGAGTTTAAGCTACTGGGTCTGGGGCTCAAACCGCGGTCAACTACATGGGAGTCCAGCGACATAGCCATTATGCCAACTGCTGGTCCCATCCTCAGTGTTTCTAATGAACTCCACAGAATTCGCAGCTTCCATGCTAAATTCTCTCCCATTAGTATGTTCCTCCAAGGCTACCACCCCCATCCTGAACAGAAAGTGCCCTTGGCTTTCTAATGGATCACCTCAGGCCCATTCAACTCAGGCCCATCCAAAAGGACCCCCTATTCTTTTTGAGAAAAGAACCTTCCACTTCCTTGGTTCTTCCCTGAATGAATTTTCCAGCCTACTCCCCCATCGCCCCTGGAGTGGATCCTCCCAGCTCCCAGCTTCCCCTGAGGAGAGGTGAGGGGTGTCTCACCTGCTTTCTTGCTGGGGGGTGTTTCTGGCCCAGATCCCACCATGCTGAGCTTGGTGCTGGGGTGTCTCCGGGGTTTGGCTGGAGGCCTTCGGGTGCTGCTGTCCTCTGTGAGACCTCCACTGCCACTCCCAGGGCCACCACCCACACTGTCCATGCTGCCCACAGAGTGGCAGGAGAGGGAGCGTGGGGCCATGGCGCTGCGGCAAGGGTGAGGGGTGTGCTCCTGGGAGGCAGGCATTGTCATGAAGCCCATCCTGAGGGAGCGGCGCAGTGAGGCGATGTCTCGCACTCGAACCCCAGGCCCTGGGCCAGCCCCAGGCCCTGCCGGGCCTGCAGGGGCCACCTCCTTACTGGAGCTGTGGAGAGAAGAACACGTTGGAGCAGAGGTCAATACTCAGGCCTGGGCCTCCCTGTTCAACACACTAAGAGGTAGTGGTGACCCCATCGCCCCCCTAAGAAGAGAGAGGGAAACTGGGGTGGGGATGGGGACGCCTGAAAGTCTAAGGCATCCCTGTAGGGACTTCAGGCAGAAGTCCTAGGCTTAAAAAAAGGCAAGGCAATTGGGGACAGGGACGAGAGGGGGAGTATGTGTGCAGTGGAGCATGGCTGGGGCTGGCGGATGCAGTGCAAGGAGATATGTGGACAGCCTTGTATAGGGAGAGCTGCAACCTGGGACAAGATGGCCCTGGCTGACAGACAGACACACCTGCCCCTCCGCTCCTTGGCCCTGCTTCCTGTGATGCGGGCCCACACCTGGTCTCTGGCCTCCCCTCACGCCCAGCTACTGTGGCCCACGCCCGCACACAGCGCCAGCTCTCCAGATGCGGATGTGCCTCACTGCCACAGCAGCCTCCCCCCAGCTGATCCTTCTTCCCCCCTTCCTCCCTCTCGCTTGGTGCTATCTTCTTCTGTCACCCTCCCAGCTCTCCCAGCTCACCCCCATTCACTGTCCCCAAGGTTCTGTGTGAGTGAAGGGGGGGCGGCTGGCAGGGAAGAGGGGAGAGCTGCTGTGGGGTGGGCTCTCATTAAGGGCCTGTCTACTAACCCTTCATTAGGAAGAGATCGCTGTAGCAATCGCTCTGATTAATCTAATTAACAACAAGAATTAAACTCCACAGTTGTGAGAGGGAGAAGGGAGCAGGGAGGTGGCTCTGAGTCAGGCTCCAAGAGGCTGTGCAGTCAATGGGAGTAAAGAGGGAAGAGAGCGAGTTGGCAGAAGCCAGGCTCAGGCCCAGGCCCCTGGGAGTGCAAGGAGAGAGGGCAAGCAGGCACTGGGAGGTTTAGGAGGGGGATCCCAGCCCTGGCTCACTGTAGGCTGATCCTGCACACACCCTGTCCCCCCACACACAGCCCTTAGCTTGTCCATGCACCTACTCCAGCAGAGGAGACTTGGAGGAGGTCAAATAGATGTTCCCTGATGCCACTGAAATGACCCCATACCCGGGCCCTGTGAGAGTGGTTGGGCCTGTACCTTCCAAGGTCAGGTGACAAAGGAGCTAGCACTTAGCCCCACACTGACAGAGCAGAGAAGACCACAGGCTGGAGGTGAGTCAGAGAGGAGTGACTCGGGCCTCTGGGGACAAGGAAGAGCCAGCAGGGTGCTCCTGAGTTGGAAGCCCCCCAGGAGGCTGGAAAGGGCCTTCAGCCAGGAGCAGGGCTAGACGGGGTGTGTGGACTTGCAGTCATTCTGTACTGAGCACAGACTCCAAACTGAGACAGTTCGTTGATGACACAGCTGCTGAATCCCAGGAGAGGCTGTGGCCCAGCAAGGGGGCAGGCAGAGGTGGGAGAGGCGGGGG